TGCTGTCTTGACCATGCTAACATGCTAATAGATGGGGGATGTGTGAGGGTGCTGGACAGTGCCTAGATGAAAAGCATGCTTGACCAAACAATGGGGATTGGCTTAAAAGTCGGGTACCACACAGCCTGTTAACTCCTCCTCTAAGATAAAATATGCACCTCTGGTACCCTGATGGTTTTCTGTGGGTATACAAGGTGTAAGTGAGTTTAGCTAGTATTGTAACCATGAAACATGCTTCCTACTGTGGGAGTAATGTTGGACAGAGAACCATCTCAGCCACCTTGAACAGAGTAAGGCTTATACACTGGGCCAAGCCTAGCCGGTGAGATCCACCGTCACTTTCACTGACCTGATAAGATCTTTCTCCATGACTATATTTAGTAACAATGCACAGTGCCATTTTGGGCAAGCGGCATTGTAACTGGACTGTTATTTTGAATTATGGACAATTGCAATATTTTCTTAAAAGAAGGAAGACCAGGCTCAGTTCTGCAAGATTGCTAAAAGTGAGATGGCTTTATCTTATGCTTTATAGGAGAGTGGACTAATAAAGACAAAGTAGATTGTTCCTAGTGTCTCTTGCCATTTAGTTCATGTCTTTTGTCTGTTTCATGTATCTAGCATAAGCTATGAAGCACTAAAAAGACATTTGCTGGCCATTATAGAGCTTGGTGCAATGCCATGTGTAAGTGTGCATCAATATCCAAAGAAAAAATATCTAAAGTATTATTAGAGGAAGGAATACAGTAAATGACCTTGTTCAAGTATTAAAAAATGATTTAATAAAAATAGAAATCATTTTATTGCCTATATATGATGTGTAGAAATGTAATTAAATGTGATAGACTATTAAGTTCAGAACCTCTAGCAATGTATTTCACACTTCTGGCAGGGTGTCTTTAGCTCTAATTACAGTGTATCATCACAGTGCTATTGATTTTCCAGTTCTTTCTATTTAATAAATGGATACGTCGTTCACCCTACATTTCCTCTATTTCTGAGTATGGTACATACTGGAGATTATATTTAATATGAAAAGACTGAAAATCTAGTGACGGTGATATGTAATTTAATAACTTATGACTTGATGCAGTACCTTTGTAGTAAAACACAGCTCATTAGGCTGGGTTATAAAAGTCTGGATATTTTTTGGCAAATAGTTCTTAGTTTTATGTAAAAAAAAATTATGTTCCGCGGAAACATTGTCATTTTATTCCGTTAAACACATTTATTGACTACTCTATCAATATTAACTTGTGTAATTACATAGGCAGTTGCAATGAAATATGTCTACACATAAATTGGAACTGGCATTTCTATTCCAATACTTTAGCTTTCCAGTGCTAATCTCCAAATACTTGTAAGTAATACTATCAAATAGTGATCCGTGAATCTGCTTGGGTTTGATTCAAGGGCAGGTTTGGCAAACATGGCCAAATATCCAAAAATCATGAACATTACTGCAGACGCTATTGAAGTCCATAGGAGGCAAATCTTGAAAATCAATTTTCTCCGTTTTGAAAAATATTAGGCAAGAAATTTTTAATTGGGGAGTAACAAAAAAACAAAAAAAATACATTATGCTACTGCTCCTGAGTATGGGCATACTGCATGTGTGGGACTTCTGTAAGTAATGCGTCTGATTTCTGACTTCCTATCACATTTCTTAAGGCCCTGAAGTGCCAAAACAGAAAAATCATCAACAAAAAAAAAACATTTTGCAAAGTAGACCTTACAATGTATTTAATTAGAGGCATGATGAGTGTTTTGAAGATCACTTTTCTTCTCACAAGTGTTTTGAAAAAATGAAGAAAAAAATAAATTTTTTACACACAACTGTCAATTAAGATATTTCTCACACACAGCTTTGACACATACCCTTTCTCATCCTTCTGCTCTTTCTCCCGAGTATGAGGACACCACATATGTTAGGCTTTTTCCCAACCTAAACACAAATTCAAGAAACATCTTCAGGTTTTCATGGGACATACTGTAAATTAGGCATCTAATTTCCTGACTACTTGACATTTTTGGGAGGCCCTGGATCACCAGGACAGTAGAAACACCTACAAAATTACCAAATTCTGGAGAGTAAATACCCCAAGATATATTTTAAGAGCCATTGTGAGTCTTTTAAATATTTAAAATTTTCTGCTACTAGCTTATGGGAAATGTGGAAAGAAAATGTAAAATGTGAAACGATAACATATTTCTACCACACAGCATGGGCAAAATTATAATTATGCCCCAAAATACATTCTGTAAATCCTCCTGAGTATGGGAATATAATATATATGAGACATTTTATGAGCCTAACTGCATAGAGGAGGCCAAACATTCAAGGAAAAACTTCAGGCTTGCAGGCTGCGTAAAGTATGCATACAGTTTCCTGACTATTACATTTTGTAGGCCTTGGATCACCAGGACAGTAAAAACACCTACAAAATGACCACATTTTTTAAAACAATCATGCAAACATATTTTTAAGAGGCATGGTGAGTCTCTTGAAGATTTCATTTACTGCCACGTGTTTTTTGAAAATGAAGAAAGTTTTTTCTTTTCTACAAAAAGTTGTCAGTTAATAAGATATTCATAACACGCAGTATGGGAATACTTAGTATTATACCCCAAACACATTCTGTTATCCATCTCAAGTATGGGATACCAGATATGTGAGACTTTTTCAGAGTCTAGCTACTTAGAGGGGCATACACTTCAAGAAACACCTTCAGGCTTTTAAAGAATATAAATCAGGCTTCTTATTTCATGATTATCTTTCACATTTTTGGAGGCCCTGGAGCATCAGGACATTGGAAACACCAACAGGATGACCACATTTTGGCAACTAAACACCCCAAGGTATTTTTAAGAGGCATGGCAAGTCTTTTAAAGATTTGCAAGTTTTTGGTCACCTCTGTATAAGAGGTTGGGGAATATAACTTAGTGCAGCATCACCTACAGTAGTCCCCATTCATTTAAGCCAAGCAAGCCTAGCCCACTTGTTATTGGCCTCCCCCAAAGAATGTCATGTTCACTGGCAAGGAGGTACAAGAGTCTGGAGAAAGGAATAACAAAAGAGGAGTGAAGTTGTCCACAGGGGATGCCTGGGGCTGGTTCACAGGCATGTAGTCAGTGAGATGCGCAGATGGGTCAGTTCAGGTGACAGACAAAGACATAGTCAGCAAACAGGCAAAGGGTCAGTCCATGCAACAAGCAGAAATGTTGATAAACAGGCGAAGGTCAGTTCAGGTGGCAGACAACACTGCACTGTTGATGGCTCCACTGGTGACCCTGTCTGATGCATCCACAATTGGGGACACTGCTGACAGCTACACTGTCTCTTGTGACACTGGTACTGTCGTGGAAGCCATCAAGAACACTGTTATTAGCTTACATTGGTCTGGTGGCACTGAACCTGGTGTGGCAGTGATCAGAAACACTATTGGTGGCTGCAATGATCTGGTGATTCTGGGACTGCTGTGACAGCTATCAGGAACACTGTTGCTTGCTTATACTGGTCTGGTGAAACTGGAACTGGTGTGGTGGTAATCAGGAACACTGTTGATGGCATACACTAATCAGGAACACTGTTGCTGGTTTATAACAGCCTGACCCTGTACTGATGTGTCCATGACACTGCTGATGGATGCACTGGCTCCTGTGACACAAGTACAGTTGTGGAAATCATCAGGAACACTGTTGATGGCTTACACTGGTCTGTTGACACTGAGACTGGTGTAGCGGCAAACAACACCACTTGCTGGCATACACTGGTCTGGTGACACTGGGATTGGTGTGGTGGCAATTAAGAACACTGTTGCTGACTTACACTATTCTGAAATTTATACTCAAACTAATGCCCACTGTATCTTAACAAGAACGTCCTTTATAGCATTCCCCATGGCTAACAACAAAATGGGGATGTGCATACCCACGCACCAAAGTCAAGAAGAGGATGAAAGACCTAGCATTTATTAGGACATTTATTAGGACTCTCCAGCTTTAGTAAATAAACCCCATGTATTTATAAGAAGTGTCATCAAACGGTATCATTATGCTAGGGTGTATGAAAATCTCTCCCCCTATGTCAAAGATTAATGTGTTTTCTGATATAACTGGGGCTGTTGTGATTGTGATCAGGTACACTGTTTTTGGTTACATTGGTCTGGTGACATTGGGACTGCTGTGACAGTGATCAGGAACATTTTGCTGGCTTACACTGGCATGGTGACACTGAGATTGCTGTGGCAGTGATTAGGAACACTATTGATGGCTGCACTTGTCTGGCATAGTCGTGATCAGGAACACTGTTTCTGGCACAACTGGTCTAGTGACACTGTGACTGGTGACGTGGTGAGTGAGAACAATGTGATTGGCTGCACTATTATAATGACACTGGGACTGGAGTGGTGGTGATCAGGGACACTGTGACTCACATTGGTCTGGTGACATTGTACTGCTGTGGCTAGTGGTCAAATACAAATACAATCACTGTCTGCACTGACATATTGTATATATCAGAGCAGCCAGCCATTGTATATGATCACTAGCCATGGCAGTTCAATGTCACCATGGTGACAGCGGGTTAAATGAGATAAAAGTCACCAGGGAAGTACAGTGATCGAAGACACTGGCTGGCTGCACTGGCATACAAATACAATAGTGTCTCTGATCACCAATCACACTGCTGATCATTGTAGTAATGATTGTAGTTCCTCACAACGATCACTTGAAATGGTCAAGTTTCATTGGCCCTTTACCCAGGTCTGTGAGGGTGTGCATGAGCAGTAGATGTGCAAGGTTTATATATATATATTGCCAAAAGTATTGGGACACCCCTCCAAATCATTGAACTCAGGTGTTCCAATTACCTCCATGGCCACAGGTGTATAAAATCACCTAGGCATGCAGACTGCTTCTACAACATTTGTGAAAGAATGGGTCACTCTCAGGAGCTCAGTAAATTCAACCATGGTGCCGTGATAGGTTGCCATCTGTGCAATAAGTCCATCCATGAAATTTCCTTGCTACTAAATATTCCATAATCAACTGTTTGTGGTATTATAACAAAATGGAAGCAACTGGGAACAACAGCAACTCAGCCACAAAGTGGTAGGCCACGCAAAATGACAGAACGGGGTTAGCACATGCTGAAGCACACAGTACGCAGAAGTCGCCAACTGTCTGCAGAGTCAATAGCTAAAGACCTCCAAACTTCCTGTGGCCTTCAGATTAGCACAACAATGCATACAGAGTTTCATGGAATAGGTTTCCATGGCCGAGCAGCTGCATCCAAGCCATATACCACCAAGTGCAATGCAAAGCGTCAGATGCAATGGTGTAAAGCACACCGCCACTGGACTCTAGCGCAGTGGAGACGTGTTCTCTGGAATGACCAATCACGCTTCTCTGTCTGGAAATACGATGGATGTGTCTGTGTTTAGTGGCTGCCAGGAGAATGGCACTTGACTGCATTGTGCCAAGTATACAGTTTGGTGGAGGGGGGATTATAGTGTGGGGTTGTTTTTCAGGGGTTGGGCTTGGCCGCTTAGTTCCAGTGAAAGGAACTCTTAAGGAGTCAGCATACTGAGACATTTTGGACAATTTCATGCTCCCAACTTTGTGGGAACAGTTTGGGGATGGCCCCTTCCTGTTCCAACGTGACTGCGCACCAGTGCACAAAGCAAGGTCCATAAAGACATGGATGAGCGAGTTTGGGGTGGTGGAACTTGACCGGTGTTATGATCCGCCAGGTGGTGCCTCAGGCTGCCAACTGACAGACCTACTCAGAGCGTGGGGTCTAAGCCCGGGCTGTGCTTTCACCAGGGCCCCTGATGGTGGGGATGGACTTTAAAAAACAGTCCCGGGCCAGATCACGACCTCCGAGCAGGCCCACCAGTGGCTGAGGAGACCTCCGGGAACGTATGCAGGTACCCAGAGAGCCAGATGTGAAGAGGATGGCGGCCCCAGCAGGGTAGTAATGGATCGTGGGCCCGTGAGGGTAAGCGGGGTACAGAATCGGTGGGCAAAGAGTAGTCGGGTCACACACAGGATCAGCAGGGTAAGTCAGTCCGTAGAATGGTCAGGGCAATCCGGGTCAATCACAGGAGCAGGCAGAGTAGTCAGGACAATCCGGGTCAATCACAGGAGCAGGCAGCGTAGTCAGGGCAATCCGGGTCAATCACAGGGGCAGGAGGCGTAGTCAGGGTCAATCAGGGTCACTAGACGGGTGCAGGAACTCAGAATCACAGAAAGACCTTGCGGCAATCTGTGACAGTGCAGGGCATCTTTAAATAGTGCGCCCTGCACTGTCATTGGCCGGCTAGGATGCGCCCCCGGCTGTCATTGGACGCCTGAGGCGCGCCCGCGGCTCCTACTGCGCATGCGCGGCGTCCTGTCAGCCGCGGCTCGCCGGGACCTAGTGCCTGTGTCCCGGCGCGATCTGCCGCCAGTGCGCATGCGCGGGGGACGGCGCCGCGATCCGGGACTACGGAGCCGCGATCCCTGACATCAACCCAATAAAACTTTTGGGATGAATTAGAGTGGAGACTGCGAGCCATGCCTTCTCATCCAACAACAGTCCCTGACCTCACAAATGCACTTCTGGAAGAATGGTCAAACATTCCCATAGACACACTCTTAACCTTGTGGACAGCTTTCCCAGAAGAGTTGAAGCTGTTATAGCTGCAAATGGTGGTCCAACTCAATATTGAGCCCTACGGACTAAAACTGGGATGCCAATAAAGTTCATGTGTGTGTAAATGCAGTCGTCCCAATAGTTTTGGAAATATTTGGAAATATAGTGTGTGTGTATATAATATATATATATATATATATATATATATATATATATATATGCCCTTCTGCATCCAGGATATATGCCCTTCTGCACCGTCTGGTCATTTATGTGCAAGGACCGGACAGGCAGCCATTAAGTACCATACTTGGTCAAAAGTGGGATTTACAAGGGAAAAAATTGCTGCTAAACTATATTTCTCTTCTAGCTTGATTTTAAAAACTGAATGGGGATCCCCCCAACTCAAACAAACTACATAGGGCACCAGGCACTACCCTCAGGGACTTAAATAAATTGCAATAATTAAATTGCAAAGTTGTAATAAAATTGTAATAAATAAGTAGTAAAAAGTATCGTTATTCAGGGAGCAGGTCTTTTAATGAAGCTTGAAGAGCAACATTAGTAATACATAATTCCTTTAATTAGCATGCTTGGGGAAAGCCTTAAACCTGCCTGTAAAGTGGCTGAAAGCTGTGTAGCTGCTAAATGACATTACCCAGCTACTTTGTTCTGCAGATAAACAAAAATGGCAGTATTCCCTTCCACATCCATAACAGACCCATATCCTAGATTAGGGTCTGCTACTGTATTAATTGTAAGAGGGACCCCACAAACAATTCACGGGGTTCTCCCTTAGAATATATATACTCATCATATCCCTGATGAGGGTCTGGTATAGATTTAAAGTGTCCCCATGCAAAATAAAATGGTGTGTGTTATCCCAAATTTCATACCAGACCATTTTAGTCTACTATGTGTTTTAAAAGGGAAGCCCATGCAAAAAACCTCTATCTGAGCATGCAGTCTTGCTATCCAGGAAAAGATGACAGTAAGCAAGCCTTCAACTTAAGGCAGAGTACTTTACTAATAGAGGGCCCCTGGCAAAGCACCTTGTCCCCATGTCAATGAGAACAAGGACTTATTTTCCACATCCCTATTCTAAAGTATATGGGGGTCTGCAAGGGTGGAAATGTCATAATCTGTAAGCCCCCTTTAAAATAAAGTGGCTTTCATATACTGTACCCCCCCTCCCGTTAATGAATGTACATAGTACATTTAACAGTGTAAATCCATCATCAACCCGATCATCTAGTGACTTATTTCAATCATTATAAACGATGACACACTGAAATAAAACTTGCTGACTGTTAATATATTTGCTCCCCACAAATGATATTTCCACAGCTAGAAGCTAAATGTAAACAAAGAGACAGGATTTCCAAGGCAACATCAATCATTTTGCTTTGTTACATTCATCTTCAGGGCTGGGAACAGCCATTTGTGGCAAAGACTGCATTAGAAGTTGATGTGTCAAAGAGTTGGCATATTTTTCTTTCGGTGGATTGTTGGTATTTGCATTCATCATGATTGACATGGATCTACATTGCTGAGCGATGGAAATGATAATGGATTTACACCAAGGGACATGTTTTTTTTATTTTTGAATAGAGAACTTTTTGAAACATGTGGTGTGTTTATTTACTGTTTAATATTTTGGGGGGAATTAGTGATTAGGGTACTATGTACCCCTGAATCATCACATAGGGGTGGGTATTTGGGGGTGCACTTATTTTAAAGGGGTATCACAGTTACTGATTAATACCCCTCAAAAACTGACCCCCACTTCCAACACACCAGAGATGTGGGGAAAAGGCCCCTGTTCTCATCAACATGGAAACAAGGTGCAGCGCAAGGTAAAAGTTGAGGGTAGGTGGCCTTGTATAATTCAATGGGGTGCAGAAAGTCCACTGCCCCCTTTCATGACTAGCCAGGCTGCATGCTCAGATACAAGTCTGGTATGGGTTTTTATGGGGGGCTGCCCTTTTTGCTTGTATTATGCTTGGGTTTTCCCCTTATAATCTATACCAGACTACTATGTAAAATATGGGTCTGGGGTTCACACACTGCTGCTACATCCATTTGTCTCCAAAGGAGGAGCTTGACCAGACACAGTGACTGCTTTTTGTGGGCTTTTCATGTCTGCTTTTTATGGGCCCACACCCAAATTATAATCAATTTCACACCTGAAAAGCTACTATTTACATGTAAAACCATGCTTAAACAGCCTCTTCTCACAGCGACTGAGCACTACCCTCTCACACCATATTCAGTAAATGATGCCACCCAGGATTCCTGATGGTTTGTTTACATACAAAGGCTGGCTAGACATATGTAATTTATGATTGGAACAGCAGCAGTACTCATTCATACAGGAAGTGGATATCTGGGTTCCCGCTTGATCTAAAGTAAAAAATTCCCCCTTCCAAAGAACCTTCTTGCCATCAGAATGGGAAAAAGGGCATCGTCCCCACATCCTTCCCCCCAAAAGAGAGTTCAGAGTTTGCTGGGGAAGGACTTACTGGAATCTAGAAGCACTCTGTAGAAAAATATGGCTCCCAGATATCTGCCCCCCAGGTTAATGAGTAATGGATACTCTGTGCCCCTAGTTACTCAATTACAAAAAACTAAACAAATATTTTTTATTTAAAAAAGATGTCTCCTGATGTACATTAAATCCAACACCAATCACATTATCCTGCAATGTAGATCCACATCAATCCACAAGCCAATAATGTAGACCCGCTGATATGATGAGCTGCCTTGTCCAACAATCTTCATCTGCAGCTACTCCTAATGCAAATGACATATCCCAGTTGACTGTTGTATGTTAACATATTGGCATTGGATCCTGAGTAATGTCATTGACAAAATAGAGTCATGATAATATTAAGTTAATGTCATCACCCAGGATCACCAGTACTTGGTTTGTTTACAAACAGAATCCAGTGAGGAGCTGTCTTTTTTTTTTTCGCGGTAGTATGACAGCCACAAAATGACAGACTATCAGTTAATGTTTGCATACAATCAGCAGTTCAGGTGGGTGAAGTGGCCAAATATAGCCAGTTTGTTTGTTAGTTTGCCAAACAGTGAATAGGCTGGGCTCTGACCATAATCATGTTAAACCCGAACTTGAAGTTCATCCCTAATAATAATGGCTGGTTATATTGTACTGAAGTAAGTAGAGTAGTCATTGACATAGGTTGTTTTTTTCTTCTTTAGTGCAGCATAAAGTCATATCTATTTGAACTCCTGCTATGTGGATATTTTGACACCTGCTCCAATTTATCTTCTAGATATCTTTATTAATGTTAAGTCTATAATATATTGTGGCTGTAGTGTAACTAATGAAAAATGAATCTGAACTTTACAAGTCCTTATTCCACTGAGATCCTTGTTGAAGTTTATTAATGCACCTGTTTACTCCTTATGCTTGATATGAAACTCACAATTCTTCTGTGTTAATAGAGAAGGTCCTAACAATGGTGCAATTATTAGAGCTTGTACTGTATGTATTAGTTATATTTGTGAAAAGATTTGTATGTTAAAAAACATGTTTTCCAAATCATGTGCTTATGTTGTGCATACCATACAATTAAAGTGTGTTCTCTCAAAGGTACAGTTGTGTCCAAAATTATTCAACCCCCACTGAAATTGAGTGTTTTGGCCAGTTTGACATTGCTTTTGATCATTCAGTCATCTTGCTTACATTTACATTAAAGAGGCACTTGTA